CTGGCCCTTGGTTGGTCCTTGGATGGCCCTTGTTTGGTCCTCGGCTGGTCCTTGTTGGCTGGCCCTTGGTTAGTCTTCTGCTGGTCCTTGGCTGGCCCTTGGTTGGTCCTTGGCTGGTCCTTGGCTGGCCCTTGGTTGGTCCTTGGCTGGTCCTTGGCTGGCCCTTGGTTGGTCCTTGGTTGGTCCTTGGCTGGCCCTTGGTTGGTCCTCGGCTGGTCCTTTTTGGCTGGCCCTTGGTTAGTCCTCTGCTGGTCCTTGGTTGGCCCTTGGTTGGTCCTTGGCTGGCCCTTGGTTGGTCCTTGGCTGGTCCTTGGTTGGTCCTTGGCTGGCCCTTGGTTGGTCCTTGGCTGGTCCTTGGCTGGCCCTTGGTTGGTCCTTGGCTGGCCCTTGGTTGGTCCTTGGATGGCCCTTGGTTGGTCCTCGGCTGGTCCTTGTTGGCTGGCCCTTGGTTAGTCCTCTGCTGGTCCTTGGCTGGCCCTTGGTTGGTCCTTGGCTGGTCCTTGGCTGGCCCTTGGTTGGTCCTTGGCTGGTCCTTGGCTGGCCCTTGGTTGGTCCTTGGTTGGTCCTTGGCTGGCCCTTGGTTGGTCCTCGGCTGGTCCTTGTTGGCTGGCCCTTGGTTAGTCCTCTGCTGGTCCTTGGTTGGCCCTTGGTTGGTCCTTGGCTGGTCCTTGGCTGGCCCTTGGTTGGTCCTTGGCTGGTCCTTGGCTGGCCCTTGGTTGGTCCTTGGCTGGTCCTTGGTTGGCCCTTGGTTGGTCCTTGGCTGGCTCTTGGTTGGTCCTTGGTTGGTCCTTGGTTGGTCCTTGGCTGGTCCTTGGCTGGCCCTTGGCTGGCTCTTGGTTGGTCCTTGGTTGAACCTTGGATGGTCCTTGGCTGGCCCTTGGTTGGTCCTTGGTTGGCCCTTGGCTGGTCCTTGGCTAGCCCTTGGTTGGTCCTTGGTTGGTCCTTGGCTGGTCCTTGGCTGGCCCTTGGTTGGTCCTTGGTTGGCCCTTGGCTGGTCCTTGGCTGGTCCTTGGTTGGTCCTTGGTTGGTCCTTGGCTGGTCCTTGGCTGGCCCTTGGCTGGCCCTTGGTTGGTCCTTGGTTGGCCCTTGGCTGGTCCTTGGCTGGCCCTTGGTTGGTCCTTGGTTGGTCCTTGGCTGGTCCTTGGCTCGCCCTTGGTTGGTCCTTGGTTGGCCCTTGGCTGGTCCTTGGCTGGTCCTTGGCTGGCCCTTGGTTGGTCCTTGGTTGGTCCTTGGTTGGTCCTTGGCTGGCCCTTGGTTGGTCTTTGGTTGGTCCTTGGCTGGTCCTTGGCTGGTCCTTGGTTGGTCCTTGGCTGGTCCCCCTTCAATGCCTTTTTAAACATCCCAAAAAAGTTAAAACAATCCCCTGGACTTTGTCTCCAAGTATGAAGACGTTTCGATCGGTTCCCATCCAGGAAGCTTTTTTACTTCAAAATGTCAGGAATAGTGTTAAATTTTAGTCATTCTGAACAGCACGTTGAGTTTTTAGGTTTTATACACTAGCCCAACAAAGCCTTTCTTTTGCCTTGAAAACATGCAAATAGAAACAGACTAACGGGTCCACCCCTTTGGATGGGGGGGAAGGACTTTTTAAACATCTATCTTTATACTAAAATATTCTTTCTGTCATTATTTGTGGACATAAAGATTTAAAGAGAAGCATTATCTCCTGGTCAGACCCTGTAATTCAGTGAAAGGGTGAAGTGGGCTGCCATTCAGCTGGTGTTTAACTGGGAGGGGCCATTTTGAATGGTTGCTAACTTCAGGGAATCCTGAGATATGACTAGAATTGACATATGTGATGTTAACATATCCTGAGCTCCACAGTATCTGTAGGAGCGGAAGCGCTGCCTTTGATTATGAGAAATAATGGTTGAGGAGGAGAAATAACCAAAAATAGTTTCTGCTCAGATGAAAAGTTCATCAGAGAACAAACTAACGGGATGAGTTCACAGGAGGAAGGTCGGCTTCTCTTCACCTTCCTGCTGTTGGCCTGGTTAGACCTCATACTCCATGTTTGCACTAATGTTACCTTGGGGTTGCTCAGACTGAGGAACATGATGTTAACATTTGCTCTGGCAGTCGCTGTGTTTTATTTACACGATGATAAAAATAATAGATGAGCCTCCCAACCTGAACATAACCACTGGTTTGGTCCTGGTATCAATATTGCATGAGCCTTTATGCAGCATTCACCTACAGGTCAGCGGGCTATGAAAAAGCCAGAACATTTCAGAGTTTTGCTGAGTGTCTGACAAATTGCTTTCATATTTGTGGCTTTGGCCAAAACATTCCTTCACATACACCCTGACAAAAACATGATTACAACAGTGATTGTGGGCGCTTTGTAGAACGCTGTCCTCCTTCCGTATGTCCGTGTTTATTGTTTCAGGTGGCTAATTAACTGCTGGATTGGCTTTAGGTGTTAAACACATCCACACAGTCCTTTAAAGGAGCCTACTACCTGTAAAAAAATGTCTGATTCAATCACCAAGGCTGAGAAGAGACTCGTTGGCTGACCTGAAAGTGTTTCAATCAACTTCTGTTTCTGCTCCGATGTCTCCTCTGAGTGAGAAATTACCAAACAACCTCAGCAAGAATCCATCTTGAAGACATGCGCTCCACAATTCACAACACATGCCGTCTCAAGGCACTTTCCAGTTCATCAGATCATCCAGCCAGATTGATTCAAAGTTTTCTATCTAAGGAAAATCAGCTGATTGCATCGACTGATTGACTCTTCAGCAATCCCTCACACTAAGCATGCATGTAGAAACAGTGGAGAGGACAAACTCCCTTATAACAGGATGAAACCTCCAGCAGAACCAGACTCATTGTGAGCGGCCGTCTGCTGAGGTCAACTGGGGGTCAAGGGCACAGAAGAAGGCAGAAAAAGAAGCATAGATACAAAGGAACTTCCTCCACAGGCGGCCCCGTCCAGGAAACACACAGCCAGGGAGGCGAGCTCCGAGCCAGCTCCCATGTCAGAGGATGAAGAGAGCACATCCAGTTAGTCACAGTCAGAGAAACAGGACTACACTGGAAAAACAGGCCAAGCTCCAACATCTAGAAACAAAGGTGTTGATGGCAGCAGCACAGCTGATATTTCTCTCCAGGATGGAGTCACAGCCAAACAGGAACAGACCAGATGAAGCTACTATGAGGAAAAGCAGAGAGAGCAGAACGTTAGAGATTGAACTAACAGATTCTGCAGAGTGGGAGAATAGAGATAGAATGAAGCAGAATGATGAAAAAGGGGTCCCTATGTCCTCCAGCAGTCTAAGCCTATAGCAGCAGAACTATAGAGAGAGCTCAGGATAACCTGAGCCACTCTAACTAGAAGCTTTATCAAAAAGGAAAGTTTTAAGCCTAGCCTTAAAAGTAGACAGGGTGTCTGCCTCAGGGACTAAAACTGGTAGTTGGTTCCACAGGAGAGGAGCCTGATAACTAAAAGATCTGCCTCACATTCTACTTTTAGAAATTCTAGGAACCACTAGTAAACCTGCAGATTGAGAGCGAAGTGCTCTGTTCTAAACTACAATGCCCCTTTTCCACTAGTACCAACTCAGAGCACTTTACTGCCGATTGATTTGGTTCTGCTTGTTTTTATTAGTAACAGACGATGCTCCTTAATATTTTAAGTGCCTTGTGGTTCTAGTCGTTCAAAGTGGCGCTAAAAAAGGCAACATCTAAGGACTCTCGGTCAACATTTGGTTAGGGAACAGTTTCATTAGTCACAACTTACTTCAATAACTAATATCTTCATAAGTTACATTGTTTTATGCTGGTGTTCTTGTATAATCACTAGCATAGCAAGTTAGCATTAGGTAATGCTAGCTTAACTTCTTGTGTTGTAGCTCAAACCCTAAGGAGCTAAACCAGTGACACATTGTGCTGATCGTCATGTCGCTACAATCTGGCCCTGTTAGTTTAGTGTGTAAACTAAATCCCCCGTAGCTGATGAAGGTTCTCAGTCATCCAGGTCATAGTCATTCCGTAAAAATTCAAAAAATATCCACTGGACTTGGTTTTCAAGATTTGAAGATGTTTCGCCACCTCTCCAGGAAGCTTTTTTTTTCATTTGAATCATTTGAATTGAAAAAGCTTCCTGGAGAGGTGGCGAAACGTCTTCAAATCTTGAAAACCTTTAGTTTAGTGCGCGGCAAAACTAAAGGCTACATTAGGGGCCTTCTGTTTCCTGGTAATCTTTATCATTATGATGTGACTTTTCATCAATGTCAACGGAAAAGGTTTAAAGTTACTCATTACCGTTTTAACTAGAGCTAGTGCTACAGGACCTAGCATACATCTTTTACCCAGAATTCATAGCAGCGTAAACAACATGGCGATGTCATTTTGAAGATATTTTAGTTAGATTTATTAAAATTTGTATTTATATTGAAAAAAAAATGTTCAGATAAATCTGTTGTTACAGCTAATCCTTAATCTCTTTAAATATATTTCCATTTTTGCAGAATCTGGCTGCTATCATTAGAAAACCGCGTCTTCTCTGAATCAATTAGAGTTACTGAAACTAACAATAATAAAGTCACTTTAATCCCTCCAGTTAGCCTTTCTGCTGCTGAAGCTACTTACAGCCTCCATGTTTTCTCACAGATACTTATATTGCTCTGACTTCTGCACAAACATCTTATATTTTCTCTTTTTCTACATTAAAACGTGAACAAAGAAATCGCAACTTTTTCTCGTACATTTAGATTTTCATCTTAGATTAGCAAAAACTGAGGAGACCTAATCTCTGTCCATTGGCTCCAGATTTCCCCACTATATGGATTGAAATGTTTCTTCCTTTTAAAACAAAATTTAAAACCTCAGTAACATTCTGTCATTCTGCAGCCTCTTTTTGTTAGATGAGTATTTTTCTTCATGCAGGAACCCAGGCAGCTCCTGAACGCCACACTCAAGCCTCCAACCTTTCTTTGAGGCGCCGGGAAGCTTGTTCCATTCCAGCGCACTCATCAAACTGTTTTTATTGTCCTCAGATTGGCGCCACTGACTGGGGACAAGCCGAGACGACGTATAACCTCTATGAGGTTCTATTTAAGGTTCATAAGGTATATTTTGGAGACAACCATTGTGTAATTTTTACTGTCTGGAAGGTTTAAAGAAAGGTTTGATCAACAACTATGGAGTGAAGTTTGCTCCATTTTTGTTGCAAATAACAGGTTTTGTAAAAGTTTTAAAAATGCAATCCAGAGATGGAACTTTGAAAAAGTGATTTTTGAAATTAAGTCTGCTGTTTGTTCAGATTTTCTTATTTTCAGGTTGTTGCTTTTTACGACGGAGTATTAGGGCCAGGCTACAGATTTTTTTTCTTCTATTTCAAGAATTAAATTGTAATATTATGAGATTAATATTAAATTTTAAATCATAAAATGACTTTTTTCTCGTAATTTTATTAGTTTCTTCTCGTAATTTTACGACTTAATTCTCCAAATGTTACGACTTTATTCTCGAAAGAGAAGAAAAAAAAAATCTCTAGCCTGGCCCTAATACTCCCTCATAGCTTTTCCCTTTTGTCTTTAATATTTTAATTTTTATACTCTCTTTTTTTCAAATTTATTTATTTAAAACTTCAAATTGAGTTTTTTAATTGCTTTATTTTAAAATGGCATTTAACAGATTGCTATCTCATACCTTCTGGGGCTTCCTATGGAGTGAGGAGTAAAGACGTTGGTCTGTGATGGTTAAAACGCAATCTGAAAAGAAACCAATGCAAAAAAAAACGAAAAGATAAAATGAAACAAAATCTCTGTTAAAATTAAAGAAATTTGAAGATAAAAAATAATTTAAAAAAGAAATCTATAAATAAAATTTTGAAAAAATTCTAAATTAAAAAACAGTTCTTAAATTAACGTTGTGAGTCAGTCAGATTTTATTTCAAAATGTATTTGCTCCAAAAATGTTTCCATCAATTTTTGACTTTTTACAGATTTCATAAATTCATATTCTATTAAATAGAAAAAAAAATTTATTTGGAAAAAAATATGATCTGAAATATAGAATTGAAGAATGCAAAGTTTCTCCGCTGACATTTTTCTGTTCTTTGCAACAATAATGGCATAAAGTTAACTCCATAGAACAGTATTCATAGCAGGACAGACACGAAAAGCAGATTTCAGACGTAGAGAGAAATTAGCCAGAGCTTTTCTCCAACACATGATGAAACCATGTGTTTGTTGCAGCTGTGGATGGCGGAGGACTGCTGGCTGCAGGCCCGGCTCTACCTGGGCCTGGAACACTCTCCTGAGCAGCAGGACAGCAGTGAGTCGCTTTGCTTCAGCATTCTGGTCGGCCACGGTCAGAGCCACACCTTCCGGGTGGAGCTGGCCACCGACCTGGCAATCTGGGAGAAATCCTTCCAAAGAGCCGTCTTCTTGGAGGTGCAGCGAGTGCGAGTAAGTACTCCCACTTGTGACTCTGCACGGTGCAGCCTGCTCGGCGTTGCTGGGTGGAGTTACTCTGTCCTCACAAGCCAGGGAGGGACTCTGAAAATCAGCAGCTTTATTCCTTCTGGGATGAAGATCCAGAAGATAGATGGTTGCTGATAGATATTTTCCAAACGTGGAAAATCTCCTCATCTATCAGCTGCTCCTGGTTTCACTCATTCCAAATGTTTCTTTGTTTGTTTTTAGATTTTTTTTAGTCCGGAACTCCCAGGTATGAATCTGTTTCAGAACAAAAGCTTTAAGGTTATCAACTTCAAAGTATTGACAATCTTTTATTTCCAGATGGATCATCTAAATCAGTGGTTCTCCTAACTGTCAATCAATCTGGTGATATGTTTATGTAAGGCCGTCCTACGTGTTCGTCCCGTTAGCTATCTTTTTCTGTGCACTTTCAGGCGTATATCTGTGGTGAGCTACGGTTTCAGACAGTCATTGAAACTCACCTTTCTCACTGTGGTTCTTTGAAAAAGGCAGAGGGTCGTAAGAGAAAAAGTGTCTATGAAGTGTGTGAGAAGAAAAAAAGGGCCCCAGAAGAGGCAGCTTTGCGTGAAGAGCTCTCCTCACAAAGCATTATGGGATTTACTCACACAGCGGCCCGCTGTCGCCACAGGCTGTCGCTACCTGACAGCGGTGGCTAATAACAAAGATGGCGCAGGCACCGCACGGTGTAGGAGGAGTTACGTGAACAATGCAGCAAAAAGTAGTGATCATCTGTCTGAACGGTCAGTTAACGGAGTACAGTATAAAGGTCACTATACAGTTGCCGCTGTGTGGACACAGTGAGCTTGTATGAGCTATGAGAACAAAACAATTTTAAAGAGGGCGCACGAGGAGAAATGGGCTCGTGCATGCTCTTGCACATGCATTTTTTTTTTTTTTTTTTATGTTTTAGGGAAGCGACTCTTCCAACTGTTGAATTTCCGAATTCTCCCGAGTGGTTCCCGACTTTACACGAGTGAATAAAGTGTATGTGATTGGTCGTTTATGAAGTGGGCGGGATTGTTGTGGAGGAAGGTTCACTAGCAAGTTTGGTTGTGGCCGGTTTGTCGGAAGCATCTTGCTAACCAGTTAGCATCTTAGTGCTAGCAGGTTCCCAATGGGAAATTCCATTGGGACCAAGTAGCACTAAATTGGTGACTTAGAAACGACGCTGTCAAGGAACGCTATGGACAGAGGAAACATGCAAGAGGAGGAGAGTTTAGTGTCGGAGGTCGTGGATGAGTCTCCTCCGTCATCCATTTTTTATTTAGAGGAGGAAAGCGGGGACGAAGATGTTGTGGAAGAGGACGCCAGGGCGGCAGAAGCTTGGTTTGGTGTAGAAGGCTTCCAGCCGTACATGTTTGAGCCCTTGCCTCGCAACGCTGCCAGTTCTGTTAGCTCTACGCCTGCCGAAGACACAGACGTCCATCCCCGTGAACACTGGGACGCAACTCAATGGGAAAGGAAAGGATTCTGATTTAGCTGCGACATATGATTTGATCAAATTTGATTGACAGATGACCGTTGATATATAATTGGCCGAATTTAGATGTTCAGGCTGACGTAGAACTAACTGGGCTGCAGAAGATAATGAAAAAAAAAAAAAAAGATTTTAAGACAGGATTTTTTTTTTTTAAACCGAAAGGTTTTAAATTTTCGGCCAATATGGTCTGATAAAGAGTACATTTATATACATGTTTAAGCCAGAATGATTTGACATCTAAATATAATTTCCCTAGGACTTTAGAGTGGAGAAGGCGGGTCTTTTAATAAATCCTCCACAGCACCTTTAAAATTTCCATGGAAAATAAACACACTGCAAAAAATGAAACATACGGCAGTCAGTTTGTGTCAAGTCTACTTTCCCTTGATTTGAGGAGATAAATAAGAGACAATTTACCTGCAGAATATCATTATGTTTAAAGTAATCATTTAAAAAAAGGAATATTAAGTTATTTCAAGTGCATAATATAAAATTATCTTATTTTATCTGGCAGATCGTCCTATTTACCTGATCGGATTAAGGACAAACACACTTGATAAGAGCAGTTTTAATAGATTTAGCTCAGTTTTTTTGCAGTGCGATTGGGAAACATTGTTTTCAGCTAAAATTAATCTTCTCTTTGTGAATTCATTGATTCCCCATCAATCTGTTCGTTCTGAATTCCACTGAGTCTCTGGTTTCCGATCCGCTCCTGATATTGTTTGCATATTAAACAGGCTAATAAAACTCTGATAGCATCTGATGCAACATATCTATTTAAAACTAATATTTTCCTAAAGTTTACGGGATTGTAAAAAGTCATGTGTGTAATTTGTCTGGAGGAGAGTTTTTTTCTACTGAATGCAGGAGGGAACACCTATTTCAAAAGGAATTGGCTTAGATTTCAAGTTATGCAGTGTGCTGCAGCCGGTTACCATGGAGACCGTGGGAGCTGTTGTTTGTAGGATAAATTTGCTCAAATCCGTTTATATTGTTCCTCGGTGTAGAAACCCAATCATTTAGAGAAGGTGTACTTTCTTTTTACCCGGACTGTGTAGGTTTATTTAAAGGTGATTAATTTCCCTGCTTACATCATCATCATCATCGTTGCAGAGTTCTGTTTAATGAGATAAAGTTCAGAGTTCTCTTAGATTCTTTGAATTCAGGCCAATTTAATGCTTCGGCAGCAGAGACTGATTTGCATACATGTTGACCCATAATAGGTTTGGCGGTTTTTCACAGAACTTTAAGTGCTGTTGGAGAGCGGAAAGGTTTCATTCATCACCAGGAACATAAAGAATCCATCCTCACATCAATAAATCATTAAATTGCCTCTGGAGACGTAAAGCTGGTGGTGGGAAGCTCCTTCCTTTGAGCGTGATGAGTCTCATGTCCAGTGTTGTGCCTGAACGCGTTCATTGAACGTAAGTTCATGAACTCGTTCATATTTTGGGCGAACGTGAACTGAACGTACTGCATTACTGCCTGATGAACGTTATTGTGAACTCGTTCATTCTGGTGTCTGTGAACGGCACGCTCTCTCAGTTCAACTTCGTTCAATAGGTTGCCAGATTTCTATAGAGCCCTCCAGGCGAAACCCCGGCTAAATCACACCGTAAACAGGCCTTAATATGTAGCGGGAAAAACACCCAATCTGGCAACACCAGCTACCAGCGTCGTAGCCTACAGCCGCGTGCGTCATCAAAACAACATGCAGCGTGGAAGCCACAGCAGCATGGAGGCGACCGTGGAGGCGACAAAGCAGCAGTATGATCACTTAAAACAGTTTTATGACCAGGTGGTCGGTGAGGATGATGGCAACAATCTTACATTTCTCTGCAAACTTTGCCCGCCGGCTTTCAGGAAAAAAATCCGCACTTCAGTAACCTTAAATTCCTACCTCAGCCTGGTCCCTCAGTTTGTGTTAGTAAAATGCTGTTGAGGGTTTTATTATTCATGTAAACCTGCTTGGTATAATTTTCCAGGATTCCTTTTTAGTATGTACTGAAATGGAATTTCAAATTGCAAAAATGATTAAAATAAAAAAAAAAACATTTGCCCCTTAAAGACTACTTTCCTGTTTTTCTTTCAGTAATTCCTAATAAAAAAGACCATTCAAGCAGCACATTTTTCCTGATGTTTTTGAGAATATACTGTAGGGGTGAAAGCTGCAGCTGCTACTAGTGTGAAGTGAATGGACAGCAACAAAGCGTTAAAGCAACAATGGGGAAATGCTGTCCCCTCAATGCTAATGTAAACCCTGGTTGGATAAGGATTCAAAACTGGATATGAAGATGAAATCTGACGCACAGTTTCAGAGTTACAACTGATAAAATAATTGCTGTCTGTGGTTCTACAGTAGGCTATGGTGTAATTGAGCAATATATGAAAAAAAAAAAAAAAACTATGAGCTAGTTCATTTTTTGGAACTGTGAACTTAGTTCAAAATTTTCAGTTATGAACTATGAACTGAACTAGTTCATTTTAAAATGTGTGAACTGAACTTTGAACTAGTTCACGTAGAAAGAGAACTTTCCCAACACTGCTCATGTCCATCAAAACGTTCGACCTGTTGGTGCATTAAGGAGGGGAAAGAAAGGAGAGAAGTTCCTGTGGAACCGGGACCTTTGACTGCTTCATGACAGAATATCTGAATCTCAGGGGTGGAAAGTAATGAATTACATTTACTCAAGTTACTGTAATTGAGTACTTTTTATGAGTAGTTTTTGAAATATGTAATTTTTTACGTTTACTCGAGTAAATTTTAACCTAAGTAGTTTTACTTTGCTACATTTAAAACCCCCTCACGTTACTGATAAAAAAGCAAACAAAAAAAAACTGATGGTGAAAAATGAAATGTGGCCCTGCCTTGCATTTACCCTTTTTATTAGGGATGCACGATATTGGGATTTTGGTCGATATCCGATATGCCGATATTTTAAAACTCATGTAGCCGATAACCGATATCGATACCGATGTTAAAGCTGGACAAAAATAAGTAGTCATTGAAAATAGCAGTTTTGTTATCCATTTCTGACACTTTGAAAAATAATAAACTCAAATATATTTTCATATGCTGATATCAAATTGATTTTTTAAAACGCGGTATCGATCTATTTTACTTTTTTAAAATCTCGTGAAATTTCATCGTTCTGTTACAAACTCTCGTGATATTTTGCAAATTCTTGTGAGATTTTGTTAGTAAAATAGATCGATACCGCGTCAATATATCAACATCTAAAAATATGGCAACATTTCATGAATTTTCGGGGGATTTCGTAGCATAACGATGACATATAGCAATATTTCATTAGTAAAAGAGATTGATATGGTGTTTTTAAATGGCAATATATCAGCATATGAAGAGATTTTAATGTATCAATATTTTTTCCCTCATCTTTAGAAGTTTTTAAGTCTGTAAAAAAGATTTTTTGAGGAAGAAGAAGAAGTAGTATTTTTTATTTTATTTTTTTAGACTTTAGAAACT